AATTCTGCTAACCAGCCTCGAACCCCTTCTTCATCTATTAGGCTGGCGTAGATGTAACCTGTGTTACATTGTTTCCTGTCTAGGATGATGAATGCTGGATCTCCTTGACTCTACTCATAGAATTTTGCTTATGCCTCCTTGATAATGGCTATGCAACTCTTCCTGTTATCTCCATATGAGGGTACAGCTCTAAAACTCAGTTTAATGGTTCTGAGGCCGGCTGGTAGTAAGGTTTCCCGAACTCTGTGGTAGCTCTCAGAGAGGCTGATTCCATCAACAGCTGCAAAATATCAGAGTATTAACAGTGCCATGTTCCCCATGGATGGTTTCCCTGTTAATGCTTTTGGTGTGCATTGTCAAGGCCACATAAGGAGCCCTATGTCACGGCTTAGGGTTAATTAACAGGACTGAGACAACTGCATAGCTCATTGATTAGGAGGCTGTGCTCTATCTATGAATGAGTCTAGTTCTCATTAAACCCAAATCATGACCAAAGTAACCAAAAATTTAAAACCTAAAAAACCATCCCCACCACCTAAATATTTTAATATATCTTTTACAAATATTCACGGTCTACGAAGCAACTTTCCATCAGTTGAGTCTTACCTCCTGCAAAATTCACCAGACTTGCTTGCACTCAGTGAAACAAATTTAAGTTCTGCAATTCCTTCTTCAGATGTCAGTGTTGATGGGTACTATCCTTTGATTTGTAAAGACTCCAATAGTCACATGCTAGGTTTAGGAGTATACATACGCATTAATTCCCCTATTTGTCATGAAATCAGGTTCGAATCCTTTGACCATTCTTTTATGTGCTTTCGCCTAGCACCTCTTCACTCTATCACCTTTTTCTTTGTTCTTTATCGTTCTCCTTCTTCCCATGATTGCACTCTTTTAGATGTTATCTCTAATCAAATTGACCATGCCCTCTCTCTTTTCCCCTCTGCCAATATTGTTGTTGTTGGTGATTTTAATGCCCATCACACTGAATGGCTTGGCTCTAACACCACTGATCCTGCTGGCACTAAAGCCTTTAACTTTTGCGTTTCTCAATCTCTTACTCAGATAGTTAACTTTGTGACTCGTTTTCCTGACAACCCTCATCATTTACCTTCACTCCTTGACTTATATCTTGTCTCTGAACCTAGCTTATGTTCAGTTTCTCCCTTTTCTCCCTTAGGTGGTTCTGACCATGCAATGATCTCTATAAATCTTTGTTCTCGTACTTCTTTTTTGGGCTCACCTTATCATCGCACCACCTACTACTACCCTAAAGCTGACTGGGATTCCTTTCGTGATTTTCTTCGTGATGGTCCTTGGGCTGATGTTTTTTCTCTCTCAGCTGACAAATGCGCCTCCTACGTAACCTCCTGGATTCAGGCTGGAATGGAAGCTTTTATTCCTTCTCGTCGGTTTTAAGTCAAGCCTTCTACTCCATGGTTTTCTCTTTCTTGTGCGGCTGCTATATCCAATCGTAATCATTTTTTTCATCTTTTTCAAAAAAACAACTCTCTTGAGAACAAACGGCTATTTATTATTGCAAGAAATCAATGTAAAAAGGTGCTTTCTGATGCTTAACTCCATTATTCTCAGTTCACTAAATCTCGCATCTTATCGCAGAAGTTAAGCTCTAAAGACTTTTGGAAAATCTTCAACAGCATTGTTAACAAGGGTAGATCTAACATTCCATCTCTCATTCATGGGATTGATCTTGTTACCTCTCCCAAAGATAAAGCAGATCTATTTGCAAAGAACTTCTCTTCTAATTCCACTCTTGAATCTTATGGACATTCTCTTCCTTCCATTCCAGTCAAACAGGTTGACCCATTGTTAGACATTCAAATCACTCCGGCTTCTGTTGCTAAAGTGATATCTCAATTAAACTCGTCTACAGCTTGTGGTCCAGACAACATTCCTGTAACAGTCTTGCAGAATTGTTCTCCAGAACTTTCTTCAATTCTCTCTAAACTATTTAACAAGTGTTTGACTGAGTCTTGTTTTCCTGCTTGTTAGAAAATGGCATCTGTGGTTCCAATATTCAAAAACTCTGGAGAAAATTCTGACCCCTCCAATTATCGTCCGATCAGTCTGTTATTAGCAAGGTCTTTGAGTCTTTGATCAACAAATTCCTCACATCTCATCTTGAGTCAAATAAACTACTGTCAGACAATCAATATGGTTTTCGATCCTCTCGCTCTACATCCGACTTGCTAACTGCTATAACTGAAAGATTTTATCGTGCATTAGATGGAGGCGATGAGGCTAGGGCTATTGCTCTCGACATATCTAAAGCTTTCGACAAAGTTTGGCATGCTGGTCTTTTCCATAAGCTTGCTTCATATGGTGTTTCTGGGAATGTTTTTGAGATTATCAAATCATTTCTTTCTGACTGGTTTATTAAAGTCATCCTTGAAGGCCAACACTCTTCTTTATTTCCAGTAACTTCTGGGGTTCCCCAAGGTTCCATCCTGGGCCCTGTTTTGTTTCTTACATCTACATAAACGATCTTCCTGACAACCTTTCATCTAAAGTAGCTCTTTTTGCTGATGACTCAACTTTATACTCCTGTCTTGACAAAAAGTCTTCTCTTTTCGATCGCCTAGAACAAGCAGCTGATCTTGAATCTGATCTCACTTCAGTAATAGATTGGGGTTCACAGTGGCTTGTGAATTTCAACTCTAAAAAAACCCAATTGCTTACTGCAAACAACTACCGTAATATGGTCAACATTCCTATATTAATGAATGGCAATCCTCTTACTGAGTCGTCCTCTTTACGTCTTCTTGGATTATCGCTTACTACTGACCTTTCATGGAAACCATATATACAATCGATTGCTAAATTAGCTTCTGCTAAGGTTGCTTCTCTTTATCGTGCTTGCCATTTCCTTACTTCTGATTCCATTCTCTACCTCTACAAATCTCTTATTCGTCCCTGTATAGAATGCTGTTGTCATATTTGGGCTGGTTCTTCTAACGATTCACTTTCTCTTCTTGACAAGGTCCAAAAACGCATTGTAAATGTTGTTGGACCTGGACTATCTGCTAAGCTTGAACCTCTTTCCCATCGTCGTAAAGTTGCATCTCTTTCTCTTTTCTGTAGATACTATCATGGTCACTGCTCAAAGGAGTTATCATCTTTAGTTCCATCAACTAAAATTCATTCTCGTTTTACTCGTCATTCAGCTAAGTCTCATTCGTTTTCTGTATCTGTCCCTGCATGCTCTAAAAACTTTTATTCATCTAGTTTTTTTCCCCGCACTTCAATCCTTTGGAACTCTCTCCCATCTTCATGTTTTCCTGACTCATACAACCTTCAACTTTTCAAGTCTTCTGTCAACCGTTTCCTTGCTCTATAACTCTGTTCTTTTTTTTCCTAGTAACTCCCAACTTAATAGTGGTTGCTTGCAGCCTTGGTGGGAGTGAATGCAAATAAAGAAAAAATATATATATCAGTTCTTGTTGAAGTCTTAGGGGGCGACCAAATCTTTTCTGATTTTCAACAGAACCAGTTGTTTCAAATTTTATACACATCTTTCTAACACCACTTATCAATATTTGATATTTTTCTGCACATTGCTTGTAGGTTAGGCCCTTTTTTCGATCACAAATGAATCGAGAGCGGATGTCCAATGAATAATTTTGATGATGAACCATTATTATTGTTAGTTTTACTTTTTCTAAAAATGAATTCCGAAAAAATAAAGTTTAAAATGCTTATTTTTAATAAATTTAACAAAATCTCTTTAATAATAATCATTTTTAATAAATAGCTATTGACAAAGCATTATATTTCATAATAAAAACTCAAATGTTTCTTATTTTTGTCACATTTATTTTTGAAAAAAATTTGTGAGATAGCTAATTTTGTTTAATAGATTAACTTTTGCAAGGAATTATAAAAAGTTATAAATGTATTTATTTTTCTTAGGAATCAAATTTAAAAAAAAACATAAAATTATTGCAGTTATGTAGATCTTGACGTAAATAATTTTGTTTGTATTGTTAGAGTATCAATTTTATCAACAATGTTACTTATTTTTGTCCGTGACTGTGTATATATATATATATATATATATATATATATATATATATATATATATATATATATATATATATATATATATATATATATATATATATATATATACAGTGCTTCTAGAAAGTATTAGTGCAAGCGGAATTCTTTTATTTCAGTCAACTTCAAAATGACTGTCATTCAAAAGCAATAAAAGACTGATTAATCTTTTTTTATTTTGATGATAAAAGAAAACACATGAAATTACATTCAATATAAAAAAGTTTTAATAGATTAAAAAGATTTTACTTTGAGTACTTAAAACTGATGATAGCTGTAAAATATGTCCAAAAAAAAAAATAAAAACTTTGTTTAAATGTTTAAGTTTGATATAATAGTGTAATTAGAAATAATAGCTTTAGAGTATAGTATCGAATCTTGCAGGCAGAGACGCAGAGAATTAAGTTAAGCGCAGTACTACCAGGGACATGGTCGGGATCAAACTCAGAACCTCTCGCTTAAGAATGGAACGCCTTACCACTACCTCATAATAAGTTAAAAATTTGATTGATAAATTTTTTAACATTTTTAGTCGACCTAAACAAAGTTTATATAAGAATTTGATTTTTAAAAAATGTTTTTTAACATTTCCGGTCAACCCAAACTAGGAAATTAAAATAGGAATTTGATTTAAGAGGTGTTTCTTAATATTTCCATTCAACCTAAACTAGGAAGCTGAAACAGGAATTAAATACAATTAAATGACCGTATAATAATAAATGCTTTTTAGTTTTTTTTAAGCTAAAAAAAATTTTATTGTTGTAAAAAAAAGGTGTTCAAAAAAGGGTGCTCCTTAGTTTAGTTATTGTTAAAAGTTTAGGTTGTTTGTTTATTGTTTTAATTTGATTTTGGTTTATTTAAGTTTGATATGAAAATTTTTTTTTAATGTTTTCTTTATGTCCTGATTTTTATTTCTACTTTAGAGCAGAAAAAGCATTACGTTATGTCATCGTTTTCAGAATTAGAAGGACTAAAACAATGTACAGAAAATCTCACAGATTTTGTTTTGTATCGTTTTCAAATACTTATTATATATTATATAAGATACCATTAATGATAAATAATATTATAAACTGGTTATATAAATGTTTAGTTATTGACTTGTACTCAAATTACTTTGTCTCTTATTACTAAAATTACTTACATCATGTTCTTTATCTTTGGTTTAGTATTTTCTCTTTTTTAATTGCAGTTTTAAAAACATGAAAAATTTATTTTAATTTATTTCAAATTAGTTTATTTTCAAGAAATAAATAACATAAAGATTTCAGGTTTTCTTTTTAGTTTTTTGGAATTTTGGGATACATGATATATATACATGTGTTAAAAAATACTGAATCTCAGTAAAAAAACATAAGAAAAAAGAACTTTTGAGAGCTTGAGATTAACAGAAGAGATCTTTTGAGAAGCTTTATTTGTTTATGAATGGAATCTCATTTGACAGCAATACAATTATTTTAATATTTTTTTAGCTTTTTGGTGCTGCCTTTAAGTTCTTTTTATATTTGACTTCTTTTTTGGTTACTTTGGTTAGCTTTGGTTGCTTTGGTGTCTTTCATTGTTGCTTTACTCTAACAGCATTTGTGTAAAGTTACGACTGCGCAAAAGTTAAGCTAAATTTCTGGTTTAAATGTTTTTTGGTGATGCAAAAACCCATTCTTTTTTGGTGTGAACATGAATTGTTTTAAATGGTATTGTTTCATATTAAAAAGTAGTTAAAAATTAATACTCGTATGAATCCATTTTTATAAAAATAGCAAACATAGTGTCAATTAATCTGATGCAGCTAAACTACTAGTTGGATTATTATTTTGGCAGGAATTTTTGCAATTTGACACTATTAAAATATCATGCAAACATTTTGCCAGAAACACTTTCTGATAGTTAAACTTGGGGCCTTATGACCCATATCTATATATAGTTCACAATATTATACTGCAATTCAAGGTGCAAATTCACAAAACTTTCATAATTCTTCCATAACTTATGGAAACCATATGCTTTTATTTATTTGGTATTGACAAACAATTTACAGCATTTGTGTAAAGTTACGACTGCGCAAAAGTTAAGCTAAATTTATGCAAAAAGTTTAAGGTAGTCAACAGAAGGTTGTCTTTTTAAGGTAGTCAACAGAAAATATTTTGTTGCTATTGGCCTATACATCTATTAAAAGCATTATTCTAAAGGAGTTATAAAGTTAGGAAATAATATTTGAAACTTGTGTTACAGATTTTAATATTTTATAATCTGGTTGAATGAAAACTGCTATTAGAGTATTATTTACTACCTGTATTAAGTTTAATAAATTTAACTATTTCATAGTTATTTAATAACTACAATAAATTAAGGTAGAGATAATGTAAAAGTGGTAAATTTCTTAAATCATTTTCAACAAGTATTATTGATTTTTTTCAGTTAGCATTAAAAATTTGCATTAAAGAAAAAATATGTAAATAGAAAACTTTACATTTTGAGTTTTGTGTCACAAGCTCTAAAAAAGTCAAGGGACTCATCAATAAGTATTAAGATAATGGTAGATCCTACAAAAGCTCAAACTTTCAGTGTTAATTTATAATGTAACAAGGTTATAATATAACTCATTGAAGCCAAATTATGAAGCTAGTTTAAAGCATGAAGAAGTATAGCATAGACAACTAATGGATCAAATTTTTTTTTCGCGCTAGCTCTGCTCAAAAATAAAATTATAAAAATATATTGCTAAAAAACCAATTTAAGATAATTAAAATTGAAAAAAATAAGTCGAAGTATTAAAACAAACTTTTATTTCATTTCTAAAGGTTTGTTATCACTCCTCAATGTTAAGACTCCTTTTATGTATGTTAATAGACTTTTTCTAGCCATCAAGGTTCAAACAAAAATTGTATAATAACATCAACATCAATTAAAATATTCATTTTGATTACTATGAGGTTGTGGAATAACCTTAGCAATAGGTTTGTTGATTGAGATTGTAAAATTAGACTAAAGTTAAAGTATTTATATTTCGTAAAAAAAACTTTTCTTAAAATGCTTTATCCTTTTATTTAAAAACTCTATAAGCAACAGTTTTTCTTCTCCTTAAACTCTAGAAGCAACAGTATTTCTTCTCCTTAAACTCTAGAAGCAACAGTTTTTCTTCTCATTAAACTCTAGAAGCAACAGTTTTTCTTCTCCTTAAACTCTAGAAGCAACAGTTTTTCTTCTCCTTAAACTCTAGAAGCAACAGTTTTTCTTCTCCTTAAACTCTAGAAGCAACAGTTTTTCTTCTCCTTAAACTCTAGAAGCAACAGTTTTTCTTCTCATTAAACTCTAGAAGCAACAGTTTTTCTTCTCATTAAACTCTAGAAGCAACAGTTTTTCATCTCATTAAACTCTAGACGCAACAGTTTTTCTTCTCATTAAACTCTAGAAGCAACAGTTTTTCTTCTCCTTAAACTCTAGAAGCAACAGTTTTTCTTCTCCTTAAAACATCAGTTTTCATACTGTGCAATTAAAAATAATATATTTTATTCTACACTAAAAAAATAAAAAATAAAAAAACAATGGTAAGGAATTATACTCAGGCTATATTTAAAAAATATAAAAAGGTAATGAAGTATAAATTTATCATTTATATAAAATTGACTTTAACAAAAGTCTTTTGAATAGTTATAGTTATGCATTATTTTAACGTAGAACTTAAAATCTTTTATAACCATAGTTTTATTAAACGTAGAACTTAAAATCTTTTATAAACATAAACTTATTGAACTTAAAATCTTTTATAAACATAAACTTATTGAACTTAATATTAGAAATATTGTTCTTTCCTTTCAGACTGAAAGTTTCAGTAGCACCAATTTACAGCTGCACAAATATTTTAAAGTTACGCAAAAGTCCTGGCTATAATATTACCGTATATTTTCTTTCTTAAATTAAACTGAGTATTTTCTTAAGATGTTTTGTGAATACCATAATTTTAGAGTTGAACTTCTGCAACAAAAAATGCAAAGTTTTGTGAATGCAAAATTAGTAATTTTAGAACTTACTAATTTTGCATTAGTAAGTTCTTAGGTAAGTTTAAAAAAGTTTTGTGAATCTGCACCAGGTATTTCATGAAGATGAAATATCAAATATGACATCATATTGAAATAATCTTAATGCATCATGGCATCCTAAAATAATAGTGTAAAAACATTTGTATATACATTGACTGAGTATTAAGGTTTGGGCAAGCACTATCTACATATAAAAGAAATTTCTGAAACTGTTATTTACTTTAACTTTGGAAATAGATATAACAAGAGACAGTTTTCCAGAATATATCCAAAGGCAACAAGAGTAGAGAGTACAAACTATGTGCCTCAGGTATTTTTTTTTATAGTAAATAATTCATAGTAAACAGTAATACACTTATAGTTTATTATGTAATTCTTTTATGAAATACGCTTCATTAATGTTTATATTAAAGATTATATTCAATTGTTTATATTAAAGATTATATTCAATAAAGATTAAATTCAATACAGTTATATTCAATTGATAGAATGTTTTGATTAACATAATAAGAAGTTTAACATAATAAGAAGTTGTGTCTTTACAAAAATAACTTAAAAAAATACGTTTCAATGTATTTTTCTAAGTTATTTTTACCATAAAATAATTATAAAGTTATATTGCAATCTACAGACTTTAATTTTTCAAGTTAACAAAATGTAGACTATAAGTTTGAAAATTTAACATTTGTGACATTTTTCATACACCATACGTTGTATTGAATGTTTGATTAAAAATTTTTTCAATAAAAAATATTTTAAAGAGTCCCTAATATTATCAAAAAAAAAACTTAGTTTGTTGTTAAAATAGATCAACCTAGTGCTCAAATAAAGCAAAGCTGTAAAAAAGTTTCAAAAATAATTATTATTTTAAAAAAGAGTTTATTTGCAGTTTTAATGCATAAAAAATCAATTTTTACAACTTTTTCAAGGAAAAAATTCTAAAAAAAATTTTCAAAAATGATTGTTTCAGAAATTTTTATATAATTTTACTTAATTTGAGTACCAGTTTGATCTCTTGTCTTGGTCAAAATTCACAGCACCCTTATATATATATATATATATATATATATATATATATATATATATATATATATATATATATATATATATATATATATATATATATATATATATGTATATGTATATATATATATATATATATATATATATATATATATATATATATATATATATATATATATATATATATATATATATATATATACATTTTATTATATTATAGATTTAAAAAAAATTAGATCGAACCCTAATATTTTGGTTTTTTCTGATTTTAATTCTGTTTGAAATTCGTTTTTTATAGGGCAAAACTTTATTGTTTTAATTAAATGCAATAAGTCAACAAATGAATTTGCAAAAAGTCACACAGTTATTCCTAAAGAAACAATCCATATAATAAAACATTGTAGAAAAACCTCACTTTATTTTAATAAGGAAACTTGGAAAAAGAAAAACATACATGACTGCTTTGATGCAACAATTGGCAGTTATGATGGAGCAAAAATGTGTGTATTTGTTGGACTATATATTTTAGATTTATTCAGTAAAACAATCAATATAAAAGATTTAGGCCTTTATCACGACGATGGTTTAACAGTAATGCGTAAAAAATCTGGTTCACAGCTCGATATAATTAAAAGTGGTATTTTTAAAAAAATTTAAATATTGGCTTTAATTGAAATAATTGAAATTGAAAATGAAAATTGAAATAAACATAAATTAAAAAAATGTGAACATTCTTGTTTCTCCTAAAAAACTATAAAAAATAAGTGAGCTCAAATAATAGTTAATTAAATCCCCCTTTTAAAAAAATATTTAATAGATCACTTATATAAAAATAAGTAATCAATTCTAAAGAATTTTTTTTTATAATAGTTTCAGCATATTCCACAAATGTGTAAAAATTTACAGTACATAAGACATTTGCGACTTCCTGTAATTAAACTTTTGGTGTAAATTGAAATTTTATTAATTTGATTATTCATTTCTGATGAGTCTTTATTGATAAAACACAGTGTTAAATGAAAAAAAAATTTAAGTGATTTTAACTAATTTATAATTGCTCTATTTTTTTAAGAACGTTAAGCACTCTATTTTGTAAAATACATTTTAAAATTGTTTAAATATATATATATATATATATATATATATATATATATATATATATATATATATATATATATATATATATATATATATATTAATGATTCAATGATTTAATTAGATTATATTACGCAATGCTAAATTTCACTAATAAACAAAACAAAAAAGGTTTTCCTTGCAGAGCATTAAGTTAAATCAAAAATCAAAATAGCGCATTAAATTAAATGAAAACTGCTGCGTAAAAGAGCTTAAGATCTGTTAACTAAAATAACTGTATTAGCAATACAAGTTATTACACAACCATTCAATATGTCAAACAAAAACCATTCAATATGTCAAACAAAAACCATTCAATATGTCAAACAAAAATTCTACTACATCCAAAATATCAAGAGACATTTAGAAAATAAATTCGATTCACTTTGAGAAAAGTAAAAGATTATGTAAGAGTAAATCTCAAGAATCATCAGGAATCATCATGTAAAATGCCAATAAATTGTACAAATAACCAATACACCAGCTTGGCATCAGACTGTCAAAATGTGAAAGGAAAAATAAAGAAAGTTTCAGATGAATGTTTAGAACTATGGGCTAATTTGAATTTTGCAACAATAGATAAAAAACCAATTTCAAGAATTGATTAAAAAGAGAAATTGATTAAAAAGAGACATATAGAAATAAAAAAACCAGGTAATTATAGTTTTGACGGTTTATTAGCAATAACAAAGAGGATGGACTTTGATTACATTCTGAAGAATGTAATCAAAGTCTTTATTTTTAGCAATTAGAGAAATCTGGTAGAGTTAAATATACTACAATGAAGCCTGATGATCCTAAAAAACTACATCCTTTAAAAAAAAATTTAAATTGGAAACGTTCCATCAATTCCATTAACTTCAATTCTGAATGTATATAGAGTGGAACACGAAAGTAGTAATGAGTCAGTAAGCAACAGTGGCAGTGATGATTTATGGGGATCTATAAAAATGATCTTTAAGTGTATGTATGCATTTTGTATAAGTTTTATTGTGTAATAATGTACAAAAATTCTCTATTTGTTGAACAGTGATCAATATTATTGTTTTATATAATAGATCTGATATATTTAATACATATTAAAATAAAGGGAATACAATTTTTTGTTGGCACTCAGATTTTGATGCCTGGCTGCAATCATCAGCCATATATTGTTAAATCAAGAAATTAAGAAACCAATAAAAATACAAATTAAAAATACAAATTGTCAAATTGACAAAGAAGGAATTTATTTCTATTCAACATTGATTGAAATTATATCAACATTTGATATAATTTCAGTTTTTTTATTTAATAAACTGTTGTCATTGTTTGAATTAATTTAATATTTTTCATTAATACATAACTTGCATGATTTTGTTGTCAGGTTATATGCTTTAGGTTGTCAAATTATTTTTCTACTAACCACTGTATTTTTATTATTATGTTTTAATTTCCAAATTTCTTTTGGCAGTTCCTTATCACTTTTATATTTAGGAATATTGAATGTTTAAAAAATATCTCAGTTTAAAAGGTGTTTTACTTAAACCAATGTATGATTTTTTTATTGAAGGGTTATCTGAAGTGGTAGTTGCTTGGTAAACTATTGTTTAGGGTGCACTTATTGTGTAAATTTATTACTGATTTCGTGTTTGGCGTGCAACTGTAGCTGATTTTTACAGTGTTCTTGTTAAAATTTTTATTTAGTTTGTGGTTAATTGGAAAATGTTTAGAATTCAAGTTTAAAAAGCATTTTCTTATTTTATGATGATGTTAATACTAAAAGAATTATTTTGCGTGTACGGTTTTTCTTCTGTTGTTGTTTTAAGTTAGGTTGGTTGGAGAGATTGTGCTTATAATCAGAGTTTTATGCTTCATTATAAAAATATAGAGATTTCTTAAATACTCTTTCGCTACTAGAATTTCCAAACAATCTCAGTTCAACATTGGGAGGTAGTTATTTTAGTATATTAGAAGAGTGGTTAGGTTGAGCATGTATGTAGTTTAAAGTATTATCATGTTTGCAGCATGTTTGGTATGACTGGTCACAGAGATTGATAGAGTTGCATTGATTGAATAAGAGTTATGTAGAGGTAGTTCACAAATTTTGAGGTTGCATTGTATAGATATATACTGTATGTTGCACTGTATAGATATATAAATATATATAGATATGCTAAGATCATTACATAAGTGCGTGCTTTTTAGTTTTTTCCATTTACAAACTTCTAACATTTTTAAAAAATTTAAATCCGTCATTGCTAATGTCATATTATAAAAATTTTAAATTTGAAAAAGATTGAATATGTCTACAAATTTGCATATCTCTGCACCATCAAACGCAGCCATTGTAACATCAAATACACTGCTTGATTTTTTCATCCAAACTTGGTCGTTATTAAACAGTAAAGATTTCCTTGCATAAATAATAATTAGGATCTAACATTAGATTTTTGATGTTAGATCCTATTGCATCGCTTATTTTGTATTTTTAACGGTTTTTTAATTTTTTGATTTAAAAATATATGGCTGATGATTGCTGCCAGGCATGAAACTTTGGGTACTAACAAAAATTTATACTTTTTTTATTTAATATTTATATGTATTTTGTATAATGTTTTATTGTGTGTGTGTGTGCATATATATATATATATATATATATATATATATATATATATATATATATATATATAATATATATATATATATATAAACATATATATAAACATATATATATATAAACATATATATATATATATATATATATATATATATATATATATATATATATATATATATATATATATATATATATATATATATATATATATATATATATATATATATATATATATACACACAAGGGTGCAGTGAATTTTGGTTTTTTTTTAGAATTTGTTTAGCCTAGGTGTGCAAAAGTTTCAATTTATAGTGTGGAAAAATTTCTCTGGAAAAATTTCAATGCTCTAGCAAATTATCTTGAGGTGCGCCAAGACCTTTAAAAATTTTAGGGGTTCCTAATATTATTAAAAAAAAAGTTTTTCAAAAGTCATGTTGGATCTCAAATGAAGCAAAATTGTATAAATGTTTTAAAAATAATAACATTTTTATTAAAAAGAAATAATTATTAGGAAAAAAATTTTGATTTTGAGTAAGAGAATAAAATAAATGTTCTTTCACAGTAAGTTCATTGGAAGAAATGTATTTTTAAAAATTTTCATGGAACTTTAAACAGTTATTGGCTTATTAATCATGAAATACAAATATAAATAGCAGAGCAAGTTTTGATATCTTTGATAAAAGACAATGTTAAATTAATAACTGAGTAATTCCATATAAAAGTTGGACAGTCATTTCAGTCACCCCTAGAGTTTCTTTAAATTTCAACCAGTGGAATGTATTAATAAAGCATGAAATAATGTAAAATTTGAGCTCCCAAATCTGAATGTTTCAAAAGCTATGTCATTTTGAAATTCAGCCTATAATGATCCTTTTTTTACCAAATCTGTCAATATGGATTTTGTAGTAGTAATTTTTAATGATTAATTTAAGATCTAGTGGAAAAATGTGGCTAAAAATAGGTACCTGACCATTTTTAAAGGTGTTTAATACAAAGATAATAAGGAAATTCTTAATATTTGAGAATAATTTTTTCATTTTAAAATATCAAGTCAAATTTTTTGTTTCATAAAAAAAGCTTTGCAAGTTCTATAACATCTTTGCTGATTCTATGCTGTTCAACCACATGGGAGTATGCTATGATGCCTTTTTGGTCGCATAAAAACTTTGCATTTTGAATTTTGTATTTTGAAGCCGAAAACACTTTTGCTGCTTTTCTGATAGACCGAGGTTTTGGGGTCAACGTCAAAATTTGAAGTTGTGCCTTCTTGTTAGAAGTTTTTTTTTCATGCATTCAACAAAAAACCCTAGATTGCCAACTTTGGTTTGAATTTCATTTAGAACTTCATTGTTGTTTAGTGCAACTAGATCGGTTTCAGTAACATCCAGAGCAGTTACATGTTTCTTAATGACTGCATCTTTAACTTGCTTTATCTTTCTCTTTCCAAATGAAGACTTGTTAGAGGTTTTTGGTAAATGAACTTTTAGAGGAAACACTTCAAGTTCACACAAAGTATTGTTGAGCAATGATCTTGTTGATTTGGGTATAATTTCTTTTTCCTTATTATCTTCAGGTAATTTTATCTCTAACTTGATTTCTTCTGGTTTCTCACTTGATCCTAATTTATGTTTGCATTGTGGACAAAGCTTTTCACCTGGCACTATGAGTTTGCCTTTACTGCTTAGGTACATTGCAGTATCCAAGTTAATTTCACGAGACTGCCTTAAAAAAGGGAACAACTCTTTTAGTATAAAAATGTTAATAAAACTATTTAAAGCTGTATGGCATTTAATAGTGCACTTCCAGAAGTCAGCTAAAAGTAAACTTGAATATAGCTAAAATAGAATTAGGCTGCCAAGAATTTTATTGTAACTCACAACACTTTCACAAAACTAAAAGTTGTGATTACTATAAATACCTTTTATAACTTTATTATGAGTATTAAATGGATGGCAGCACCGTGTTAATTTAGTTGCATAATGCTTCAAATAAACATGTTTATGATGGAGACAAGTTAATGATTTGACATTGATTATTGATAGCCCAGTCCTCAAAATTAATATTTCTCTTTCATATTCAGGAATATCTTCAGAAGATTTAATTCCAAGCAATGATGTATATGTTGCAAGATGACATTCACTTTCTAGCTTGATTCCAATGTACTGCAGACTGTTTACCAATACTGAGAAACTGAATTACCAAATAAGACCCTATTTAATCTAAAATTAAAACAGTTTTTATGTTTATACAACTGGTGTTTCAAAACTACGAACATAATACGAACAAAAATACGACATAGCTGTTGTCACAATACTATATTTATGCATCACATCAGATGTTACAAAACTATATTTATGCATCACATCAGATGTTACAAAACTATATTTATGCATCACATCAGATGTTACAAAACTATATTTATGCATCACATCAGATGTTACAAAACTATATTTATGCATCACATCAGATGTTACAAAACTATATTTATGCATCACATCAGATGTTACAAAACTATATTTATGCATCACATCAGATGTTACAAAACTATATTTATGCATCACATCAGATGTTACAAAACTATATTTATGCATCACATCAGATGTTACAAAACTATATTTATGCATCACATCAGATGTTACAAAACTTTATTTATGCATCACATCAGATGTTACAAAACTATATTTATGCATCACATCAGATGTTACAAAACTATATTTATGCATCACATCAGATGTTACAAAACTATATTTATGCATCACATCAGATGTTACAAAACTATATTTATGCATCACATCAGATGTTACAAAACTATATTTATGCATCACTTCAGATGTTACAAAACTATATTTATGCATCACATCAGATGTTACAAAACTATATTTATGCATCACATCAGATGTTACAAAATTTTCACATTTTAAAACTATATATTTTACATTAATTTTTGACCATTTTGAAATAAAAAACAGTTATCAAACATTTTGAATTAGGTTATTTTCTTTTCTACTTTGGATTCAGCATCTTCAAAAATGGTCAGGTACGAATTTTCAGCCAGTTTCTTCCACTAAAACTTAAATTATTTACACATAAATTATTGCTAAAAAATCTACAATAGATAATTTGAGTATAAATAAGGAATTGTTTGTATAAGCTTCAAAATGACATATCTAAATTATTCTTCAAGAAACAAAACCTTTTTGTTTTATAAAGATAGCCTCAAATCACCTACTTCATTTGGAAAAAAATTGAATCTATGAGACTTGGGCAACTCTGAGAGTTAATGAAAGCACAACCCATGGTAACAGAACAAAAAGTTTGATTGATCATTTTAAAATCAAAAAGTTTTAATTTTATTATTTTTTTTACATTTTTAAATTAAGCACCCTCAAAAATGGTCAGGTACCAATTTTTAGCCATATTTTTCCACTAGATCTTAAATTATTTATAAAAAAGTACTACTCTAAAGTCCATAATGGCAGATGTGGAAAAAAATAAGGTATATATGGTTGAATTTCAAAATGTCATAACTTTTGAACTGTTTAGATTCAGGATCTCAATCTTTACATTTTTTCATGTTACATTGATAGGTACCACTGGTTAATATTTGAAAGAAATCTGAGAGGGAGACTGAAAATTTTCAATTTTTTGTCCCACTTTTACACGGAATTACCCAACTGGTAACAAACAAAGAAGTTTATTTTTGTTTTATTTAATGCCTCCTAAAGTTCCTTTTTTAGGCCTGAATGTAAAAGAATTAACTCCAATTTTGGTAATGACGATGATGATCATAGTCACAATAAATCAATTTTAATATATATTTTTTTGTTTTAGGTTTTCTGGAATGCTGGCTGTCAATTTGTTGCATTAAATTTGCAAACACCAGGCATAATTATTTTATTATATTTTATTTTAATATATTCTTTTATTTAGATTAATGTAATTTTTCTGGCCAATATTTTATGCTACTGTTCGATCACCAAAAATTATTCTTATGTTTAAATGTTTTTTTCCTTTGATATTGTATACTATATGGGGCTGTTTGAACATGTTTTATAAAGCTCTTTTGAGATGTTACTGGAGTATTGTGATTTTTAGGAAAACATGACTAAGTTTTTGTTTGTAAAGCTTGTTTGTGAAATTTAGGGTTCTGAAAAATTTTTATGCGCAGATATTTACCGGTAAATTATGCACATACATTTGCATAACTTTTTTACTTTTTTTCAATTTCAAATTATCAAAACTCAATAAATTGTTTTGACTAGACAGACAGACAAAAAAAACAAATTTTAATTCTAGTTTTATGAAATTTTGTTTGTTTTTTGTTTAATTAATGTGCTTTTGGAACAAAAAAATTGTCAGTTTTAATTTAAAACTGATGATTTTTTTGTTCCAAAATACAATTGATTAAATGATTTGATGAAATTCTTAACAGCTTCAGATTTAATGAGACAAAAAGATATTCCAGTTTGGAAAAACAAAATTTGCTAATTTTATATCGATTTCTTTTTTTGATTCTTCAGGATTCATCACATTGTCAATTGCTTTGTATGTTTCAACTGAGATTATGATGTGGTTGAAGTTGATTGATGGTTTGACTTTTTGTTTTGCAAACAATCAACTTTAACAATGACATAATCTCAGCTGAAATATACAAAGTAGTTGACAATGTGATGAGTCCTAAAGAATCAAAAAAAAAAAAAAAAATCAATATAAAATTAGCAAATTTCTTTTTCTGAACTGGAATATCTCTTCGTCTTGTTTAATCTGAAGCTTTTAAGAATTTTATCAAAACATTTAATCCATCGTATGCATCATCAATACCATGCACAAAAATGCTGCCAGGTTTGCTTCTTGATAAAAAGTACGGGAAATGCTCCGCTAAATTAAAAGAAATTCTCAAATATGGAAATTTAACGCTTGTCAGAGATGGTTGGACAAATATTAGTGGCAATCATATAGTGAATTTTTGTATCAAGGCATCAAATACAAAACTGTTTTTGGAGCAGTTCTCAGCGAGTTTGAATGTGAAGAAATTATAAATGAGCAAATGTAATACAAAAATGAATTAAATTGTTAAGTTTTGTGATATAGAAATTCCTTTAAAAATCTTAAAAATAATTTAAAATATTTACTAATAAAATTAATTACAGAAAATCAAATGAAAAATTGTTTCTTTTAGTTTAGAGTCACCTGTGTTTGATTTAAAAAACATTTTGTTCTATATTTGACAATATTTAATAGATTTCTCATACCATTCATCTGTTAAATTTATATACGTATAATATGCATATTATGCGCATAATTATGTGCATAAATTTTGTATAGTATGCACATATATTTGTTGATATGCGCATAAGTTCCGAACCCTATTGAAGTTCATAAAGGAAATTATCATTTTGTTAATTTTGCTAATGAATATTTTTTTTTTCTTTCTCAATTTGCACAGTCATCCATCATTATTTTTGAAACTCTTGATTGTTTTTAATGTTAACAATACTCAGCTATGATTGGCTGAGATAAGGATTAATTAAAAGTCATAGTTTACAAGAAACCATTATATTTTTTATTTTAAATCAATGCAACTCAAGATAAACACAGTTAAAAGTCTTATTAAGTTCTAATTTTTAATTTTTAAATGATTTTATTTTAAAAATTGGTCTTTTGTGGAGTAAACTTTTTAAATGATTTTATACAATCAGAGAATTTCAAGTATCAAATCAAATTCTTTAAAGATGTTGATAATCTTATACTTTTATTATGTTATTATGTTATAACATAATTTTATTTAATAGCATAATTTTTAATATAATGTTATTTAACTGATAGCATAATTAATAAAACATATTTTTGATAAAAAATATAATGTACATTTATTTTTGAAACTGTTTAATCTAAGTTTTTGATTTTTAAAAAAAAACTATAAAATATGAGGTTTTGAAATAATATAATAATAAATTTTCAGATTTGTCTGTGCAATTGAACCAGCAAAAATTTGAGTGCAATTTTAATTGTGGGTAGGTAAAATTTTTTGGCATTTAAAAAACATGATTTTTATATAGTTATAAATGATTTTCATTATTATTATTTATATTATTATTAATATTATTATTATTGCTATTATTTTTAATATTATTTTTAATATTATTATTATTACAATTGTTATTTTAAATTCTGTTACAATTTTTATTTTAAATTGTTATCTATTTTTGTTAATTATAACTTTATTTTAATTCAAATTTTAATTATTTTAAATTTTAATTAAAAATTTAATTATTTTATTTAAAAAGATTTTAATTATTTTAAATTTTTATCTAATTTTGTGTTCAGATATCTTTTAAAACCTGTTAAATATCGTGAGACTGATTCAAATTTTGACCCATTAACTGAAAATCCAATAGATGGGATTATTCCATTAACTGTTGAAATTGAGGTTTGTCATTTTTTTGGAGGTAAATAAGGTGTGTTTGATACTTTTTTACTGATATTATCATTTGTTTCACATTAGATTCAACTGCATTAACCAAATGTAAGAAGGGCTACATATTTTCTGACTTCTTATGCTACTTATAACCCTGATAACAATGATAGCTCATGACCCTGTCAACAATAATTCTTCTCACCACCCTGGTAACAATAATTCTACTCATGACTCTGGCAACAATATTATTAAGGTCTCATAGTTATTGAGGTTAAAAATACTGTTTGATAAGTCTATTTGAATGCAAATATGGTGGCCCATTTATTTGAATGCAAATACGGTGGCCCATTTATTTGAATGCAAATATGGTGGCCCATTTAATTGAATGCAAATATGGTGGCCCATTTATAAGAGTCTTTTTTAAATTGTTATAATAAAGAAATCTTTTGGCAAATATTTCTTTTGATAAGTAAATATAAAATAAAAGGTTGTTTACACAGTTTTTTAATTTAAAAAGTTGTGTAAAAAATAACTGTCTATAATCACCAATTTTTAAATTTTTCCACAATCCCTTCTAAACACAAAGTTTTTTTTTTATTTTTGAATTCTTTCATAATCTTCAAAATATATTTGAAGATTGTAGAAAAACAAAAAAAAAATATATTTTTTCTGCAACCTTCTCTAAATACAAAGGTTTCTTTTTCTTTTTACACAATCTTCTTTCAACACCAAATTTATTTTATATTCAAACAACCTCCTCTAAACACTAAAGTTTTTTTTTTATATATAAAAATAAATAAACGGTTATAATTATTAACCATTTGAAATTACAAGGAATTTGTTTAGAGTTTATTAACACAATGGTTGATGTAAATTTAAAAAATATTTTTTTTAAAGTACCTTGTACTTTTAAAGTTTTTTTTTTTGTTTATCAACTCCAACAAAGGACTTTACAAGAAACAGGCTTGGCCAGGAAGGTGTGCGATTTCAAAGCTTTATATGACCACGCAAATAATATTTTGTTTTGAAATTTAGCCGCGGTTTTTAACAAATGCGCTGAAAAAATTGTTTTTTAATTACGTTAAAAATAACTAACTTTGACACGTTTATCTATACTAACATTTTTATATTAGCAAAACGCTTTTAAATAAAGTGGCTAATGATTTTAATTAAACTATCATTGAAAGTTGTATAAGTTTTTATTCATAATATTTAATTATATAAGATTTTTTTATAAGTAAAATAAAAAAAGGAAAAATTAATAAAAATTTTTTTATAAGCGACGACTTTAAACAGCAATGGTCTGTTTAATAAACTTTATATAGGAATCATTAAAGTTAATTAACTCGGAATTCCGAGTTACTTTCGAAAGTAGAAAAATTTTGTTGAGAAGAAAAAAAAGACAAACTTTTTTGAAAGCCGTTTGAATAAAATAACTTTGATCTTTACTTATATTTTTATATTATTGAAACACATTTAATTAAAGTAACAAATCACTGCTAATGATTTTTTATAAAAATAATAATGAAAATATATATTTAATAATAATGTATATATATTTTTTTAGATATATGTAAAATGTAATTTTTATTATAAATGTCTTTAAATATAAAAAAATTATATCAACTTTTAAATAAATGATTTAATTATTTTTTCTTTTGTTTACTTTATTGCGAAGAATTGTTAAGAATCTTCTTTTTAACTTTTAAAAGTTTGTTAATTAATTGTTAGAAGTTGTTACTCAATTTAAAAACATTAGTTAAGATAAACTATTCAAAGTTATTTATTCTGAATGTAATTTAGATAGTCTTGTCGTTATAGTTTATTATTTATTTGAGTTAAGTTTTAGTTTTAGTTTTTTTTATTTTAGTTTTAGTTAAGTTATTTTTATTTTATTTTAGTTAAGATGATTTTTTCAGCAGGTTTTTAAAATTTATACAAATTTTCAAAACAAATTAACAGCCGCGGTCAAATTTTCAAAATCAAATAGTAATTGCATGGTCATATTATTATGTGAAATCCCAAGCCTTCCTGGCCAAGCCTGATAGAACATAGTTTTAAAATCCAAGTTTTTTATTATGTAATAAGAAACCAAACATTCTAAAAATTAAACGAAAGATTATAAAGTTAGGGTGTTTTAAAATGAGTTTTCACATTTTAACAAGATTTTTTGTTTGCTAGTGGGTTTCTTTGTAGCAAATACATTTGAGTATGAAATACATCTGGGTTTTTTTATAAAAAATTAGGAAACAGAAATCTGTCTATAGATTAACTAACCAACGTAAATATTGCAGTAGACTAATAATCTTTAAATATATTGTCTCTTAAAAGCAGCTGCCCATTAAAATCTGTTTCTTTAAATATATAGACTATATTGTCTCTTAAAAGCAGCTGCCCATTAAAATCTGTTTCTTTAAATATATAGACTATATTGTCTCTTAAAAGCAGCTGCCCATTAAAATCTGTTTTTTTATTTTAGATTTGTTTTATATAGGACAGATTTCAACGGAAATAATATTGAGTTAAAAATTGTTAAATGTTTCTTAGGTATTTATATGTGTTTTAAATTTTGAGATGTTATCTTTATTTTCATTGATTTCTTTGCTACTCTAGGTGATTTCTGGTCAGTATCTTTCTGAAAAAAAATGTATGACATATGTGCAAATAGATATGTTTGGTTTATCGGCAGACACAACAAGAAAGAAGCGAACAAATCTAAGTGAATCAAATTTAATGAATACTGTTTATCCTAAGACTGTATTTAAATTTGATAAGATTGTTTTTCCTGAGATGGTTCTTGTTCGTTTTACTGTGTATGATGAATCAGATAAGTTGTTAGGACAAAGAGTTTTACCATTGGAAGGTATAAAATCAGGCTATCGGCATATAGCGATGCGCACAGAGACAGGTCATTTCTTGCCATTAACCACTTTGTTTGTTAAGTTTACATTTAAAATATATATTCACGAAAAGTATGAAGATGCTGTGGAAGAGTTGTTCAATCCAAACAAATATAAATTGCTGGCTGAACATCGAGCTTCTCGTATTGCAAAAAAATTAGAGGATATGCTGCTTTCAGATGAGGATATCATTGTTCAAAATCCAAAGTTAATTCAAATATGTGGTGATCAAGTCAATAGCACCTCTACTGAAACAAAACGAAAATTAAGCGTGAGCTCAATGGGTTCTAGCTTGAATCATCCAAGCTTAATTACTTCAAATACAATTGACAATTCATCAATAAAAATGAAAAGTTTTAGTTTAACTTTTGATGAAAGCAACAATGGGAATAGAATGTTAGAACTTTGTGAGGGTAAGTAAAATCTTCTAGTATCGTTAGTGTAAATAAAGTGTTATTTGTATTTTTATTGTGTTATTGTGTCGTATTTTATTTGTAGTTCTTATTGTTGTTTTGTTGTTAAGTATAAGAAAGAGTAAACTGAAATGCTGTTGTAAAAGATCAGTAAAATCATATTGTAAGATCAGTAAAATATTTAGAGATGTGAATATTTAAGAATGTAAAAGGTTAGAGACTTAAATAATATTGGGAAGTGTTAGTAGTTATTAAATGTTAGTTGATAAATGTTTGTTGATAAGTGTTAATTGATAAGTGTTTTTTGAAAAATGATAGCTGAAAAGTGTTAGTTGATAAGTGTTAGTAAGAATTTTATGAAAATAAATTGTTGCTGTGTAGTTATGAAAATCCCCAACTTTTTTTTTCCAGCTTTTTAATAATTTAACTCTTAGATGAATTCTTGAAAGAAAGAAAAATTGATGATTTTAAGTTAGATAAGGTATGATTTTGAATTTTATAAAATGTTAAACAAAGAATATTTTTTAACGCAAAATTCATATATAAACAATAAATGTTATCCGTTAAAGAACGGGAAAAAAAAGTTGCGTAAAGCACGGCTGGGACAGGCCTTGTGATGAATAAAAACTGCGCGATGCATAAGCACGACGTGATTTTTGACGTCATTAAATTCTTTTTATTTGCTTTTTATATTTATCGACATTAACTACACCAATTTACTTAATTACCGCAAAACTACTTTAAATCCTTAATGTAGAAATGTTATTATTTAAAAATGTTTTGGAATGTTTTGTTTTTTAAAATGTAAAAACATTTGTTTATTTTCTCGACGTTTGACACGTTTTGTCTATACTAAACGAATAAAAAACATAAGTTTTTCAAATAATTATTTTTTCTTTTTAAAAATTCAGAGAGTAATAAACTGGAAATTTTAATATTGTACAATTAAAAACTGTGCAATAGCTAATATTTTTACTAGCAATTTTATATAATATTTTTTTATTTATTTATTTTCATAAAGCGGTTGATAAGCAGAATCACTGGTATTATTAAAAAACTTTAACGAATGTTTTGAATAGATTTTTATTGTTTACAAGGAATTTTATTTTTGGTAAAATAAAATAAAATGTTAAAATAAAAATCTTTTAGGTATAAAAGAAATATCTCAGCGAAAAAATTATTCTTAAAAATCATTATTAAAAATTATTTGAAAAACTATTGACGTTCTATTTTTCAGCAGCTGTTCTTGAGCACGCATTGAGTTTCAGTAACTTTTAACAAAAAAGCGATTGTTATTATTTAAGTAATTTTTTTCGAGTTACTTTTTACAAAACTTTTACGTTTTAATATTAATTCTTTAATTTTTTTTTATTTGCGCTTACCAATTTTTAAAATGTTTCCTTGAAATTACTCTTAAATACTTTAAATATGTCTAACAGTTAATAAATATTTTTATATCTATGGAATAATTTTAAAACCTAACAAACCCCTGTAAAATAATTAAGTTAAAAATCTAAAACTAAAAGAAATTATTTTTGTTCAATTTTATCGACAACTTTACTATTGCTGATTAATTTTATTAAAATGCTAGCTTAAAAAGATTTAAATTTTTTTTTAATCTGAATTTTTTCTACTTGTAAATAATGAGCATATTTATTTTTTTTGTAATTCAAACTTTTATATCAACTGCGTGCGGTTTTTAAAATACTTTATTAAATGTTAAAATAATCGTAAATTACTTCATTAAAATTCCGCTCAAAAATATCTTTAAATATACTCAAACAAAAAAATTTTTGCTTGACGCAAATAGCCCTAGCTACACACAAAATCACTCTTGGATGACGTAAAATTCACATCGCCCGACGCTTTATTGCAAGGCCTGCTGGGATATTAAACTACCCCCATTAAAAATCAAGCTTTTTAAGCAGAAATAATCAAACTTTTCAAAATCAATTGTGTGCATACAATAAAATTATATTTCTAAATATTTTTTCAATAAAACTTATACTATTATATATTTTTTTCTATATATTTTTTTCAATAAAAGTAATACTATTATAACAATTTATTCAAAACACAATTAAATCTTCTAAATAAGACAACTATTGCAAACAATTTTGCTATCAGCTTTGCAAACAGGACAATTGCATGCTGCACATTGCAGGCGAGTTTTCCTGTCATGAACACGAGTACACAAATAACATCTTTTAATGTGCTTCTCTGAAATTGGTTGAGTTTGATTATGTAGATTGTTTTGTGGAACTTTTTGAAGATTACTATTTGCAACTATTCAAGGAAGGTTGTTATTTGCATCTAATTTTTAAAGAAGTTTTTTTGGTTCTTCCCATAGAAGAAGAGAACTTCCCATAGAAGAAGTTCTCTTCTTCTATGGGAAGTTGTTTTTAAGTGTTATACAACATAAATATTGTAATTATCATTCAAAGTGTATATATATATATACAACATAAATGTTGTAAATATTATTCAAAGTGTATATATATATATATATATATAATATATATATATATATATATATATATATATATATATATATATATATATATATATATATATACATACATATAAATATATATAAATATATATATATACATACATATAAATATATATATATATATATATATATATATATATATATATATATATATATACACATATAAATATATATATGTTTTATAATTAGGGTGAATTGAAAAGAATCAAGTGTAAGCATTGTATGGTGTTTAAGATATTACCAAACATATTTAAGATATTACCAAACATTGTAAATAGCCATTGGTTACTCTTTTGATGACACAAGCATCTAAAACCTGGTTGTCAGTTGCTTGTGTCATCTCCACCTTTATATTTATTGTTATCCAGAATAATACATGGTTTTTAATTTTGGTCAATAACAAATTCATTATTGAGATGAGAGGTTGATAAGAACTTTGATTTCTAGTTCCTATTTCATCAAATCAAATGCATTATCACAATTTCAATCAATCACTTTACATTGAAGCCATCAAAAAGGTAGAGATGCTATCTAATGTGCTCCAAAGCTCTTTTATAGTTTTGTTTTTAGAATGGAACACTCCAGAAGTCCAACAAACCCATAAAGCTCATTAACTATTGTATCAAACCATCTTTCATTCTTATGACAAATAATTGACAATAATTTTAATTAGTTGGTTTTCGAATAATATTGTGAGCCTGTGGCTAAGTAATGGGTGATAACTAAAAAACGAGACTGGATTTAAAGACACATATCTCCTTAAAGGAATAAGATTTTACAAATAAGAAAACTGTTTTACAAAGTATTTTTATTCTAGTTTTTAATTATTTTTATGTGTTTTTATTTTTTATAGAAAAATGAATAAAAAAATAAAATTAAAACAAGAAGTGATTAGAAAACGTGTGTATGAATTTTATATAAATTACAAAAATGCTGGTAAAAAGTTCACTTATGACCACTTTAAAGTTGAGAATATACCTAAAAGTACTATCTACAAGGTAATTAAACGTACTGAAAGTGAATCTGGGTACCAAAGAGTTCAAGTGGATTAAAAGCTAAAAAAATGACCAAGACAAACATTGAAAGCCTCAAACTCATGTTTGACCATAAAGACAGAGTTTTTCAATGACAGGCAGCTAAAAAGTTCAACTTTACTCAGCAACACATTAGTAAAACATTAAAAAAAAAGAACAAATATTAAATCAAGAAAAAAATGACATTTCCAAAACACTCTGACCAGCAAAAAGCAGTAGCTAAAACTAAGTGCCGTCGATTGTGTCAGAAATTCAAAAATTGTAAACCAATTATTGAAGATGAGTTTTATTTCATTTTAAGTTACTCCAGTATCAATGGAAATGATATATTTTATACTAGTGATGTAAAATCTACTCCATCTACAGTTAAATACCAAACAAAACAAAAGTTTCAAAAGAAATTACTTCTATGAATTGCTTTTTCTGAAAATGGAATTTCTCAACCTTATTTTGTGCCAAGTCAACTGGCTGTAAATCAAAAAATCTATTTAAACAAATGTATTAAGAAGAGACTTATTCCATTCATCAATAAGTATCATTCAGATGGTGCATATGTATTCTGGCCAGATATAGCATCATCTCACTATGCAAAAACAGTAATCATGTACCTAAACAAGGAAAATGTGCATTATGTTGAGAAAATGGATAACCCATGGAGTATTTTGAAAGACCTTGCCTACAAGAATAATTAGCATGCCGAAAATCTTAAAAATTTCTTTCTAGAATCAAGTATTGTAGTAATAAAATTGATATTGAGCTCATATGGAGACTAGCTCAGTCTATACCAGGCCTAGTTGATTAAGTCAGAAGAAATGGTTTAATTGAGAACAGCTGATTATGTATTTAAAAAACTAGAATAAAAATACTTTCTAGAAGATTTTTTCTTTTTGTTTTATCTTATTTCTTTAAAGAGATGTGTCTTTAAATCCAGTCTCATTTTTTAGTTGTCACCCGTTAGTATTTACTTCTGGAAATTCGCTACAAATTTCCACACAGTTTTTAGAAATTACATTTTAATTTAAAGTTTGACTTTAATGAGCAGTTTCTTCCTTTTCATCAGAGATGTTTGCATCAGCTTCATCATCAGTTGTGATATTAACTTCTTCATCACCAATAAGAATTTCATCAGCTGAGTCATCATTTGAAGACAATTCATTTAAACCAAAAATAATATTGTTAGCTTCAACTGCACCATTTCTTGTTGGTCAACTCATATTTATTCTTAAAAAAAAACAATGTGCTTTAGTGATTAACAATCAAAAAATGTAAAAATAATGTTTAAAATGTGTAGAAGTGTCATTAACAATTATTTTGAATAATTAATCTAGTATTTGCAACATAATAACAAAAATATGCAACAGCAGCAACCTCTAATTGTTACAATGTCTAAATATATAATGTACATATAGTACAAATAACTCCTAAAAAGATAAATACTATCCCATACCTATTAAAAAACAACTAAAGAACAAGCAAATGTTTAGATAAACATTTATATAATTATTTACTTCTATAGACCTACTATATAATAAGAAAATATGACTGGGATATAAAATTACTCCAGTCGTCTTAATGTAACTAAATTTTTAACTCTCGATATTATTGTTAATTTACTAGTAAAACAATATATTTTACACTAACAAATTCTTTACATAATATTAAAAAATGTTTTGAAGCATCAGTTCAATTGGACAAAGTTTAAAGATGTATCAAATAAAAATAAACTCTTCTGGGGTAGTAAAATACCCGGCCATCTTTTAAGTGTTATACAACAT